ATGCCAGAAAATATGGAGAGATAATAATAAAAAAAAAAGAGATAATTGATGGAGAATTTCCATTAGTAGTAGGAACTACTAATGGAATTTCTCCATCAATTATATCTTTTTTTTTCAAATATCAGGTGAATAAGCCCCTTTCAGGAAAATAAGTAAATATTTTTCTTCATAATTTCAGAAAATCTGTGGGAATTTCATGTAAATTTTTCCTGACTTTTTCTATAATGCTATTCTAACACTATCTTAAGATACAGTCTAAAAAGTCAAAGTATGCTAAGCCCCAAACATAAGAAAGACATGAACTTGTTGGAGTGAGTTCACAGCAGAGCCACAAAGGTGATCAAAGGGCTGAAACACCTCTTCTATGAAGAGAAGACAAGGCTGAGAGAGTTGGGATTTTTCAGCCTGGAAAACAGAAGACTCTGGGGAGACCTTGTAACTTCCTTCCTTCCTTTACCTAAAGGCAACCTACAAAAAAGCTGGAGAGGCACATTGTATTTCTACACATAGAGACAGGATGAGAGGGAATGGCATTAAACTGAAAGAAGATAGACATTAGAAAAAAATTCTTCACTATGAGGGTGGTGAGACCATGAGGAGATTTCCCAGAGAAGTTGTGGATACTCCATCCCTGGAAGTGTTCAAGGCCAGGTTGGATGGGCCTTGAGCAACCTGGTTTAGTGGAACGTGTCCCTGACCAAGAGAGACAGGTTAGAACCAAGTGGTCTTTAAGGTCCTTGCCAACTCAAACTGTTCTATGATAAGCTGAAAAAATCCTTTTCTTCTGAACGATCTGAGAGATTCTAGCAGTTTTCAGCTGACTAAAGTTGAAATTCTTGTTAGTTTTCCTTCAAGAAAAAGCAAACTTCTAAAAGTAAAGTGTTGTAAACCTGTGTAGCCACAATTTCTATTCTGTTGAAGAAACATTTCCAGCTGAATAGGGTTTCAGAAGTGGCAGATACAGTTATTCACAGTAGATATGTGCCACAGCTTATTGGCTCTGCTACAACAATCAGCAGCTTTTTGGTAAACAGCATTGTTAATTACACTGTTGTATTTAACAATGCAGTAACATGAACAGGAATCTTTCTCTTAGAAAAAATTGTTTTCTTCTGAATATGGTTTACACAGAGAAGGCCTTTCCTAATATTTGCTCTGTGACCTGTCTGTATTTTTATCAGAACTAGAATTCTAGAACACACAGCAAAGGCTGCAGGAAGTCCATTGAGAGTCTATAAATCCATTTGCAGCAGTATATTTTCCTTACATATAGCTCCTTATTATCCAATGGCATGAGTGCTAAAAAGGATGAGTTTTAATCAAGAACACTAGAGGAGAAGTGTGAAAACATAGGAATTATTGCAACATGGTGGGATGAATCACACAGCCAGAATATTAGCATGTGTGGATACATATTGTATTAATGGGAAAAATTTAGGAGTTGATTCAGGAAATGCTTTTTGTTGCCTGTTTTCATGTAAAGAGCATTTTAAAAGGAAAGCTGAAAATAAATATACATTTGCTACTATTTTCTTAGACTGTTAGTAGCTTGACACAAGTCGAATATTGATGACAGAAAGGTCAAATGTGTATGTGAATTTTATTTTAATATACTGATTCTAGAACAACCATGATTCTGAGCTCTTGTCAGCTATAGCCCTGGAAAAACTCTCAAAAAGATGATTCAGACTCAGGAATGGATATAGAAACTTATTTTCCACACTTCTAATATCAAAGTTACCTCTGTTGGAGGATTTCTAGTAGCAGATACTGTTTTTTAAAATTTCTCAGATACTAATTGCCTACTTCTTTTTTTTTTCAAAATAATGGCCTTCTGATTTTGTCTGATACAAAGTACATCTTTCTCAGACTCTCTGTAACCAAAATGGTATTATGAGCTGTAGTATGCTGCAATGAAGCTACTGTTAACACTCAGACTTTAACAGTATTCCTTCTAAGCATATTATTTTATCAGTAATTATAATTGATAAATGGAAACCACTGAGTGGAAAATAAATGCAGATTTTAAGAAAAAACAATATAAGATGTATATCAGTATGGAAACATAAATAGAAATTGTGGAAAATATTGTAATGTTAATAGAAAAGGCCTACTATGTCTTTCTGGAAAGGTGTACGTAGCACTAAACAATATTCTTCTAGGCTACATCTTTGATAAGTTTGCATTCAGTATGTGAAATTACACTGGAGTGGAGCAAAATTTTGGTTTACCTGAAAAACATTGGAGCAGAAAATGGGGGGCAAAATAATTTTACAATTTGAGGCACTACATATATATCCAAATGTGTCATTCTCTTCTTGCAGGAGCTGAGATATTGGAGACATCAGTGAGGGTGAGGGATCCCCGGGGGGATCTCTGGGGCTCTCTGGGCATGTTTGCTCCTGACACTGCAATCTGTCTGTACATCAGGTGTTTATGAGAAGTTTATGACAAAAGTGAGGCTTTCTACTGTGGCTATTCTATGTCACAGATATGTTTTTATCTGCAAGAGGTAAGGAATCCCTATGTCAACAATATCTTACTCACTGTTAAAATATTCACTGGGAAAAATAGACATTTTTTAATTGTCAATTCAGGGAATGGCATAGTACTGTCAGGAATACTATCAACAGGAGAAGACCTCTGTACTAAACACTGCATGGGTGGTTAGTTTTCTTGACATATGGAGCTGAGCAAAATATCATGTGACATCTTCACAAAAAGGTGTTTTAATCCACAAGCAAATGGCTAAAATATCAGCTTCTTCATTTGCATATTTCTGAAAAAGAAAAAAACAAATCGGAACCTTTTCTGGTATCAAAACAAAATTGGAGCAAAATAAAATCTTTTATGGGATGAAATACATTTTAATGGCACATCCAATGAAATTTAAAAAAAATAGTCTTGATTATTTTCTTCCAGGTTTATTTATAAAAACTGAGATAAGATAGAGAATAACTCATTGAAGAGACAATTGAAGTCTTTATTGCCTATATACATCAGGAAAAAAAATTAAGTGCACAGGTCATTCTTCAGAGATATTCAGCAACCTTGAATTGAAAGACTCATGTTTATGTCTTCTATAGTCACAAAATTCAATAAATATTTTTTGTTTTTTATCCCGAATAAGGAATTTAAATACATTTTTGTGTTGTTTTGTCAAGTCACCATAAAAAAAAAAAAATTGAAATTCCATGCAAATATAAAATATGTGACTTTTTAAAAAAAATATGGCTGATTTTCTTCTTGTTGCATTACATTCTGTCTGTTTCCAGTAGCAGGAATTCTGTGTATATACCAAAAGTCCTGCAAAATATGATCACTTTATATTTCATATCTATAAGAAACCCATTTTTCTCTTTGTATGTCAGCACTGTCTCTCTAGTTCTCGTCAAAATCTCCAAATGTGGACTAAGTAATATTAGGGTATTTTTATGCTATTGCATTTTGGTTTTTTTCCTGTAAAATACAGGTCTTACTGAATAAATTAGAATACTATAGCTGGTTGTTTCAAATAACCTTTTTTAGATGTTTTCTCTGAAGTATTTTTATTTTTGTACATTATGTTACTGAGCATTAAATCTAATTGGAAATAGATATGTCAGTGACTAGTGTGTAATCAAAGACACTTAGCTGCAGTCTCTAGGTTTGTTTATATTCTAAGATTATTTTAAAGAACAGTAAAATGCTTTCTTTTCCTCACCCTTGAGAATGAAAACAGTTGGGAACTTTCTTGTATGTTTCTTAAAATAGGGCTGGAAAAAATATGATTGCTATCATTTTTGCACATAAGAACACATCAGTCTCTCCATTTATTGGAATTACAAAATACCTTGAAAAGGCAACAGTATAGGGAGATATAGAAGATATTGAACTAGGTTTAATATACTCACCCTATGAACACCTGCAGGCCAGAACACCACCTTTTAAAGGGTAAAAATTGTATTTAAGTAATTATTGCACATAGATTTAATTAGAGATATTACAGGTTTGTGCAAGCTCATCTAACTTGAATGTGGCGATTAGTACTTATTTAAAATATACTAAAAGGTACGGTCTTGAGGCAGTTATCTCTGTCAGAATTGTCAGTTCTCTTGAAAACAGATGCACATGCAGGTTTTGAGATGTCAAATGAAGCATAAAAAATAGTTATTTAAACTTGATATCTTAATCATTCTGATCAGCTACAGTGAATCAAACATTTTGCCTGGGGCAAATTTCAGTAGAAATCATAAAGTGCAAATGGCCATGGTTTTTTACCTAACTCTGAAATATCAAGCTGAAGACTATATTTGCATGTAAAAACTTACTGTGATGGAAATCGATAAAAACAGTGAAAAAGTTAGACTTATCAGCTCCTATGAATTTTAATTGGCTTTTTAAGGCGAGAAATATGAAGAAAGTCTGTGGTAAGAGATACTATTTGAAAATAATAAATATTGAAAAGATATAGCTGACATGAGGAAGCAAGAATAGTTACTGTAATTGGATACTAGGTTATGAATGAGGAAAAAGATGGAAGAGATTAAATGCCTCACACAATAAAAATGAGACCTGCAAGACAGTAGGAGAGTCTAAATGTAGAAAAGAGATTGCGTTTCTGCAACCTGTCTTGGAAGGTTTAAATAGCAGAGCAGGAGAGCTCTGTTCCTCTCACACTGACATCTTTTAGTGAACTCTTCCTCTCTTCCTATTTTCTATTTTTTGTTCTATTTTCTCTAGTAAACCAGCAAGAAGCAAGTGAAGCATGCCCAAAATGAAAAAAAAAAAAAAGGTAATAGAATTCAAATAATAGAGGGGATCAGTGTAAGTGAAAGCTAATGATATGCTGGAGGAAGACCATTTTATTAAAGGTAATACTGCTAAAACTCGCATAAGTTCTTTAGAAATCAGCAGTTTTAATCACTGCTGGCTTCATCAACATCAGCCATAAATAAAACTAACATACATAAATTAAGCATACTGGTAAAAAGCCAAAGCACCTGGGTGAGGTCACTTACCTCCTTTAAGTGTAATATTAATCATGATTCTGGCATGGTTTTGGTTCAAGCTGATTGGTGTCCTGGCACTCTCCTGAACAGGGCAGGGGCATCTCTCTTCGGGCAACAGGTGTGAGGTGAGTGTTCTTGGGACCAGATGAGAATTCAGCCGTGTGACACTGATTTGTGCTGTGCTATTTTCTCTCAGCTCCATAGGAGTTTTGGCTCATTTTTTACTTCAAGCCTCAGAGACAGCAGGTAACTCACCCCAAGCTCCTAATCAGGCTGAGCACTATATAACTTGGATGAGAAATTTACACAGTTTCATACATTGTTATCCGCTGCTTAGAAAAACCTTTGCTTTGACAAATTAAGCTATTTTGGGAGCAGGTGTTGTATTTAATTAGAAGTGTGGGTTTTTTTCTTCTTCTTCTTTTTTTTTTTTTTTTTTTTTTTTNTTTTTTTTTTTTTTTTTTTTTTTTTTAAAGAGAAGATAAAAATTATAAATGTTACTAACTATTTTCTAATCATTCAATATTCTCATTTTTTGGCTGTAAAAGTGGATGCTGCTCCTCGATTTTACCTGCATCTGCTTAGATTAGATATGAGAACATCTGGTCTCCCTGTTTATGCCAGGATTGAGCCTGTGATTTTTAAAGTAGGATCTTTCTCTTAAATAGGTGTTGTGTACCTTCTCAAGTCAAAAGTCTCCATGTCCATCAGTCACATGATTTTAGCATGTTACCCCTTGATTTTCACACCATTTCAAATGAAAAACACTGTTTCAAGCAGTGCATCCTTGATAGCTGATTAGTCAGCCAGTACAAACAGCATTAGGATTTTCAGTATGAAAACATTCCTGAGCAGGATATTTTGTCTGTTTGTTCAGATAAGATAAATATGATACAAATATGATTGGAACCTGAAGAAAGTGAAAAGGACAGTAGTGCTTAAGGTCAGTAAAGATAAAACTAAAACTGGTTTGCCTTCTGAAGACAGCTTCTTTGACAATGTAATCTTGTTACTGACAATACCTACAGAAAAACTGGAAAACTGGGAAACCCCGTTTTCAGAAAAAAAATTGGTTAATAACCATGATTTAGTAGGAGGAAATTAAGTATTGTAATTGAAGCAGAATTTCTGTTGCATTTTGCAACACATAATTTCTGAGCCTTATAATGCACATAGAAATGAGGTGTAGAAAACTGCTAGGAAGGACAAAAGCCAGCTCAAATCCTCCAGGTAAATTATTTAACAACAAATGAGAATATGATTAAGTGATGTGATACACGAAACAAAAAAAGTCTTCTTAGGATCAGTAAGAGGTTAGTAAAGGACTAACTTTCCTTAAGATGGGAAAACTCTAGTAAAATGAGCGCATATGAAACAATTGAAGACACAGAACTTAGTCTCCATGTTCAGCATCACCTAGAATGTCCCCACTGCCTGCCCATAGTCCTGGAGCCATTTAGCAGGTAAACAAAAAATAAAGGTATGTTACCTATACCATCATAAAGGCTGTCAATTTTTCAACAAGAGTTTTTTAAAAAAAACCAAATCAACAGATGTGTGTCATTAGCAAGCAATAGTAATACAGAGGAATTATGAAAATGTTCAAAGAAAACATAGTCTACAGAGCCCTAAAGAACAGCAGAAATAAGGATAGTATTATAATACTAATAATTATCTCAGGAAGAAAAATAAGTAAAACAATCGGAATGATTTTTTTATGACTTTCATTTTTAAAGGAAATTTAAATGCAATATGACTTTACAAATTAAATTTAAAAGTTCAGCTAATTGATAACAACACACTTTTTTAATTCAAGAAGCAGACTAGTTTTCAGTAGGGCATTATTTTCTGTAAAAATTGCCATGTGAATTTCTGATTGTCGGAAGATTGCTGACAAATTTTTGATAACAGCAACTCCCACTGACTTCCCTTAAGGGAAATTTCTCTTTGAAATCTTTTTTCCTGGCATAAAATGATTAATAGCTTTCTTAAGAAATGGTGCCAAATCTATTTAACTGAAAAACAATTTCATGAAGTTACAATAGCAAACACAGGGTGATCTCATCCCATTTTATCTGTTCCACACATCATCCTGCAAATCAGGCAGGGATGATAAGAGGAAAATATCCATATCTTTAACAGGGCACATGTGTATGTCAACAAATGGGAACATATTGATCTGGAAGTAGGATCTATTTAAAATGACATAAAAACTCACAAAGTAGTGTTTTGAGTACTTTATATTTAATTCATTTTGGGAAGAGTTTGCAAGCAGTTTGAAAGCATGTATCGTGTTCCATAATAGAAGTAGAGCTGATCCCACTCTCTTGGGAATACACTTGATGATTTCCAGACCTAGGCTAAAAGGATGCATTATAATTGCAACTTCAGAATTCAGGTTGCTCACATTTCATCTTTCCACCCCTGCTTTTCATTCATGTTAATCTAATTCAGTAAAACTAAAATATACGATAACCTCCCAATTTTTAGTCCATACCTTTAAAGACTTACAATTCTCTCAGTTTGGGAGAAGATTATTGCACTGGTGCATTTTTTAATTAGGAAGCAGCAGTATTAAAAGCTTGATGATCTCTTCACTGTTCACTGAATGAAGGTATATGTTTAGATCTTTATATGTTTATATAGCATAAATCATTTTACACAGAGTTCTTTGTCAATCTGTTTGTGCAATGACTGACAAAAATCTTGTAGCTTTTCATGATGATGTTTTGACAGCTGTGCATAATATTTAAACAATGAAACTGATTAAATGTCACTTATAGTTTTAAATGTACTGTGTCTTTACATTTGACAAAAGAGTTTAATGATTCAGGTTCTCTAGATGAATTTAATATTATCTTTCTTAGATGACAAAAGTAACAGAGTTGGAAGCAAGTGAAAAACCTGAAAGTAAAAATACTCTGCAATATCTTGCAGTCTTTGTTATTCTGGGATCTCTGATATGAACAAAAATAAATTTGAAACTTTGGAAATTCTTTAATTTCAACCAGATTATTCTTGTCACAAGAATACACTCTCATTCAAGGCTGAGATCACTGCCAAAACTTACCCAGAACCATTTTTAAAAATGCAGTTTTTCTATGTTAAAGGCTTCATAGTCAGTATTTCTTGGTGCTCTGTGAAAATTTATTAAGGGAATTCATTTTAAAGGAGTACTTTTCTCATGCCAATATTGAATTTGATACTTCCTATGTAAATAAGACAGGAAAAGATTTTTTTTTTTTTAACAATCTCTAGATGTTTAAGCACAAATAAAATTCTGCAACCAAGTTTCATGTCTTGATGACCAAAATTCTTGAATATTGGATTTGCATAAAATATTCTTTGGAATGCAAACAAATGAAGCCCTCCAGTGAAAAACTGATCATTTTATACATTGATTATATATCTTTCTCTTAGTGATAAAGTCATAGGCTATTTTTTTTTTTTTCCTGTTCTTACTTTTAGGCAACTAAAAAGGGGTGCTGAAATACAGAGAAAGTTGGTCTTGGAAAAAAAATGAATTTTTTAAAATTGAAATCGATTACTAAAGCAGTCTTGATAAATTAGAATTTCTATTAATTATATACCCAAAATTTTCATGGTGAGCAAACTGATTTTGTTAAATTAAGCATAAATAACCTTTCCCTGATGGGCAAGCATTTTAAAGACTAACTTTTTTTTGTTTTCATTTTCCCCCTTTTTCTTCCTCATAGATCAAATATCTCTAAAATCTGCTCTAGTGGACTTGCATACAAAGCAAATATTGTAATATTAAAAATAATGTAAACATGAATATTTCTTAGGGATATTCCATCTGTTTTAGGAGAGCAGACCACTTCCTTTTGAGCAGGCTAATTTGGGTTATTAAACATCTCTGGCTGTGAGTTCCTGAGAAGCAATAACTGCAGTCTTGGGATCACATTTTCCAGTTGAACAAGGTCTTCCTGGCAAAAAAAAAAACCAGAAATGAACTGCAAAAAATCTAGTAGATCTGTTATTCTTAGTTTTTGGACCCAAAACTACAAAAACACAATGTACTTAAACTCTATAAAACTCTGTAATAGATCATGTTTACCCATTAGCATGGAAACTATTTCTTCATTTATCCAAATGGGTGTTTACAATTCATTCCTGTAGGCAGAAGTAGTAGCTATAACTCCCATAGACCTTAAATAATTATATTTGTTGCTCACTTTTAACTACATCATCTATCTTTTTCCTCTTGACTTACCTGCAGGGTTTTTGCCCTTTACAATATACAGTTCCCATGCTTTCAATATGCAGCTATATATCACCATGAGAATAAATAAATATATAAGAGTCCTGCTGAGAGTTTCCTCACAGGTTTTAATGGAATTTCCTTGGATTTTAAAACTTCATCCTGATTTAGATAAATTTCTGTGGCTGTTTGTGGTCACAAGTACCATGACAGCACTTCTCTAAAAAAAATATAGAGATTGATGTAAGGTAAAGTGGTAAAGATTAAAGAGTAGTGTTTGGGAGTTTTCTGGGTATGGAATTACATCCAGTAAATCTGTCCTTTATTTGCTTCTGATCATTTCACTAACATTTTGATTCCCATTTCAAAGCTACTATAATCACCAGTAAAGGTTATCTGTGCTATTGTTCTTGAAACACTTTTTGAGAAGAATTTGTATTTTCTGGCACATATTGGTATTTATTTTTGTTGTCTTCCCTGTGCCTCTAAGTTCCTCGAAGTGAGCAAACCCCTCAAATGCTTGAGGTTGTTTTCTGCCATGTGCCTTTAGCAGGCTATCCTCAATATTATTCCTATTTTACATGGGGGATCTGGTCAAATGGAAAAATACTCACTGTTCTTTGCAAGTAGGGCTTATACATCTGCCTGTGTCTTTTTGGCTTCTGCTTCTTTCTGTTAGTTTACTTGCATGACTCAACTGGGAGACCATGTATAGAAGTATCAAGTAAAATATGTCATAAAACATCACTCATAAAGATGTAAAAAAGTTGTATTTGAAAAGCAAATGACCTAGATGCACCTCT